CAAAGCTCTTATTTGCTACGCTGACAGGTTTTGCGCCTTCTTTTACACGCGTAGTACTGTTCGTCTTTCTCGCGGATTTGCGACGTCTCTTTCGTCTGCGCCGCTTTTTGCGTGTCGTTTCCGAGCCTCCCGATCGCATCTCACACTCGTGAACCCTCTCACAGCTTTCGTCAGCTGTCTCAGTCGCGCGGTCTAAATGATTTTCGACCTGGTCATCTTTATTCTCACCCTCTAGACCGGCGGACTGGTTAACACACTTAAGAACAATGCAGCTGTTTCCCTTCGAAAAATCTTGCTCGCATTCCTGAGAGCTGTCTGCAACTGCACTGATACCATTCTCTACGCTCGCTGCTTCTGAGCTTTCTCCGGTGTTCTTGCCTACTTCGACCTCATTTGCAAGATCCGCCGTCGCGACAAACACAGTTGAGGTCTGTGCCAGATTGTCTACAGCTGTTCTAGCTGTTTTGCTAACAGTTAACTGGCAAAGCACCTCGTCGCACTCGCTCTGGCCTTCGTCGGCCTCTCTACTCAGCGCAGCCTCATTCGCAGCACTCAAACTCGATTCGCCTTTGAATCCGCCGCTATGTTCACACGTGCTAGCCTTCTCTAAAGCTCTGGGCTGCACCTCGCACTTCTCGTGCGCTACACTTGCGGATGGCTGAATCTTCCACCGCGTTGCCTCGACTTTTTGTTCTGACAGTTCAATATCTAGGCTGAGGGCTCGCTCAAGCTCTTCACCTCGCTCCCGTTTTTCTATCTCCCATTTGCGCTCACTATTCACCTTGGTGCTATGAGAGACACGCGGACCTCTCTCAGGCTTGGTTTTAATACCAGCACACCGTCGCGCGTTCTTCAACGGAGCGTTCGTGAGCTTGTACTCCATTTGCTTTCTGTCAGCTCTGATGCCGAAGCACCGCAGTAAGGCTGCCTTTGCTACATGGTAACTGTTGAAGTCCTCCTCGCAAAGGTACCCTATTCTACCCATTAAGTCGCATGGAAAGACACTCAATAAGGCGATAGACCAATAGTCTTCGTCGAGCCCTAGGTCTGTGCAAACACTCTCGTAAGAGGTGAGGTAACTCTCTATATCCTCGCCCTCTTCGAATGCATGGATCCTCGAATTTACTTGAGACCATCTAAGGCACTGTATTGATCTTCTTGTCTCTTCCAGTTTTACCTTTAGGGTTTCCTTCCACTGCTCTCTCTCTTGCTCTCGCCTTTCCTGACGCTTCTGTTCCTCACGCCTTTCCTGACGTTCCTGTTCCTGTTGCTTTTCAATCTCGTTCCAAGTTTCTTTAATATCTTCACTGGTCAGATTCAAGCCCTCGATAGCGCCAACAATTGCGTGTTTTTTCATCCCCGCATCTACTTCTGCTCCCAGCTCCTCCCCCAGAATCAGGAGCTGATTCTTCAACAAACGCTTCCAATCCATGACAGAGAACTAGTGTGGTGCAGCTCACTCTCTACCCAGAAGTTCCGTAAATAACTGCTTCTGTGGTAGCCTCTATCAGCGAAAAGATTACACTTCTATCTTATCAGCCTGGCAACCAAAAAACCAAAGCCAGCACTCACCAGTCCACAGCTGCCAGTCTCCATGATCTCGGGGTGTTGTTCATTCTCCGTCCTCCAGGCTCACACTCAACCGCTTGCCACCCAGTTGTAGCGGCTCGCGGCGACCGCAGTCTGCGGGTAGCGGGGCCGATCGCCGTCGCTCTGTCGAGCCAAGCACCAGGGGAGAGCTTTGAGCAAACTTAACGGATTTATTTACATCTTTACAGTGAGTTGTCGAGATGACAGAAGAGAAGAGAAGAACGTTGGGCGAGGCACTCCACGCCCTTTTTGTTGACCCCCGTTCCCTAGGTCCCTAGGTTGGGGATCACTATATAAAACAATGTGGACCAATGGTGATGTGGCTGTTCCTCTCAATGAAGTACCACCGCCCATCATGTCTGTTCATAGAGGCACAACACAGGCTTGCACATACACACACACCCTTGCCACTAGTCGCAGCGCTGCCGTAGAACAGGGGGGGGGGGAGAGCGGAAGACGCACGGGCGCCTCAACCCCTTTGATGCCGGCCTCGGGCTGCGTTCCCACGAGCAGATCTTAGCGCGCCCTTTCGAGAGGTGCCAGGTTCGTGGAATCATCTGGGGAGAGCCCTTTGACCAGCGCCGTTGTCGTCTGCCGGTTAACGCGCTAACGATGCGTGGCCCAGGCGGGAGATAGAGCGGCGGCTCCAAAACCCTCTTTGGCGACATTCCACACTGTTGGCGCCGCTGTCAATGAGTGGGCGCCGTCTCGTGGAGTCGGCCTCTGTGGCCTCCTCCGTTCAGCCGTGGCGAGACTGTCCTTTTGGCACTAATCCGGCGTGGCGAATGACCCGCTGGGTCCAGGCATAGCTTGATCGCTACAGGAGAACGCCATCCTTCAGCACGACGTGTCCGATAATGGTTAGCTTGCGTGCTCCAAAGTGACACTTTTTCAAGTTTAGTGGGAGGCCTGCTAAAACCTGTTCTAAGTGAAGAAGGTGCGTGGAAAAATCAGGCAAAAATAGCAACACATCATCTAAGTAGCACAAACACGTGTTCCATTTGAAGCCTTGAAGCCTCGTAGGATAGTATCCAACATGCGCTCAAATATTGCCGGCGCATTGCATAGGCCGAATGGCATCACGTTAAATTCGTATAAGCCGTCTGGTGTAACAAAGCAAGCTTTGGCCTATCATCTGGATTCATGGGCACTTGGTAACAACCAGAGTGTAGATCAAGAGAGGAAAGGAACTCTGCGCCTTGAAAAGAGTCCAGGATAAACATCATTTTGCGTTAATTTGTTTAGACGATGATAATCTATGCAAAAGCGTATCGTGCCATCTCACGAAATATGCAGAAACGGCTGCTCTACCAGCCGCGTAGCACGTGACGAGGCGCTTTTCCTGCTGCAACGTTTTCTTCTGCGTGACGGTGCTCCTCCTCAACTTTTGAGCTACCGAGGCCGCGTCTTCGTCGTGGATGTTGTTCAAGAACTTCTCGCTGAATGTCATGTGATCACCTCTGTATTATCGCAAATCGCCCACAAACAAACGTCCTGACCGAACGTTTCAACCGCACTCTTGGCTACATGCTTTCTATATATGTCACAATCAACCACTCCAACTGGGATCTTATTCTTTCCTACGTAACTTACGCTTACAACGCGGCACTTCAAACGAGGACAAGCTTTTTTCTCTTCTTCTCACTCTATGCTCGTGAGCCATCATCTCCAATCGGCACTATTCTCCCCTACCGACCCGACTCAGCCGAAGGCACACCAGTTTTCGAAGCCGCTCGGTATGCGGAAGAATGTCGCCAATGAGCTCGCACCCTAACAACACAAAAACAAAGGCTACAGAAATTTTGTCACGATTACGGATTGTTCCACTGCCAGTTTTCGCCGAACTCTCTTGTTTGGCTGTGGGTGCCTCGCATTGCTGCTCCTGGTACCTTTCTTGGGGCAGACTTGACATACTTTTTGGGGCAGACTTGAAATTGCGTTTAATAAATTTTAACACACTGTTGGCCTTGCCAGTTACGTAACCAATATGCTTATTTCAAGATAAATCGGCAGACAAGTATACGACAAGGTATCTAAAATGTTCAACATGGTCAAGTTGTGCTCCTGACAAGCTGCAGGATGAGTGAAAGGGTTTGCGTTATCTGGTAAAACTAAGGAAGCAACATTTTCTACACTCAAACACGTCTTCCATTTCTCACTCTACCTTATCACAGTGTTAAGATCACAATGTGAAGCACAAATATTGTCCATACTGTGTATTGATTTATAAATAACACAATCATCTGCGTACAGCCTCGCGGTCGATGTTAGCGTATCTCATAAAATTAATAATAAGGACCAAAAAGAGTAAAGGACGCAGTACTGAACCGCGTTGCACACGGAAGTTACGCTGGTATATCAGGAGGACGCACCTTTCACTCAGACGGACTATTTTTTTAGAATCTGAATAATACCTCATTCAACCGAGAAAAGATGCAGGCAGACCTAAAAAAGATGATTTATGGTAAAAAGCGCCTATCGAATGGTGTCAAACGCTTTCTGAAAGTCTATAATAATACCTTCCTGCCCCGGCCCTCGCGCTTCTTCATCTTCTGTCCAAAGGCTCATACCGCTTCACCCTTCCCGCTTTCTTTTAATTACCCCTCCTGGGGTAATACTTGAAGACATTCCCAATTGAAGCACATTCAACAGATCCACGTTCACCAGTGTACCAGACAGTCTTCAAAATTCCGTTCTGGGTGGCTGTCTTGGTCACAGAGTAAGGCCCATAAAATTTGGCACTGGAATCTCTTATTCCTTTTCTCACTAGTACGAGGTCGGTGACTTGAATGTCTGGCATGTCTGCTCGATGCCTCTTGTCGAAATTCTTTTCATTCGTTTTCGGTACCTCTCCTCCTGTGATTTTTGTTGCCTCTCCTCGACAATCTTGAGGTTTTCCAAGAGTCCCAACTCACGGTCTGCCTGCAGAATAGGGGTCTCCTGTAGAAGCGTACTGTGGACTGCACCCCAAGCCACTTGTGTAGGATCGGTTATGATGTTTTACGGCTGCTTCTAAAGAACATTTCCATCCCCAGGAAAACTATCGTACATCTTGATGTATTGTCTCACGTCCCGTATGGCACGTTCTGCAAGCCCATTCGCCGCAGGATGGTATGGCGCACAGAACTTGATCGATACATTGTAATCGACGCGAGAACGAGGCGAGCAGCGGGCCCCGGCCTTCTTGGATGGTGACTTCGTTCTGCGTCGGTGGGACCTTGGGTGTCGGTACATCGGAGGAGGTCGTTGCCACGAAGGGGCACTCCCTCTGTCCTGGAAGTCCTCCTGGCTCCTGTTGCCACTTCCGCCGTTACCTCCCCGTACTCCTTCTTCGAGATTTCTTCCGGAGCTGTTCCGTCCTGTCATTTCCAGGTTGCTCTGAAAACGGCCACCACCAGAGCCGTTTTGTCCTACTGCTTCCATGTTGCTTCGCGAGCGGCCACGTCGCCGACGAAAGTAGCGGCCACGGAACCGCCGTGGAGGGCGCCGGGGTGGGGTTCGTTGAAAACCTCCTCTTCGGCGTACGCTGGCCGTGGCTCATCGACAATGAAACGCTGCGGTGGAAGCGGTGGCGGTGGTGGGGCTCGCGGAGGTGCTCGTGGCACTCCTCTGAAACGCTGGTTGTATCGCCAAGGGTAGGGCCTCCCCACGCCGTCCATGATCCACCGTCTAGGAGCCGGGTCGCTCTGGTCCTGGTGCGGTGGCAGTGACCGCGATGAGTCTCGGTTTCCTGCTTCCTCCCTTCGATCTTCCCCTCGGCCACGCCTTGACGCCGGCCCGCGCCTTCGTTGATTGCGACGTGGAATCCAGCGGGGTCGGAACGGGCGCCTGTCGGCCGCGTACGGGCTACCCTGAACAGGCTCACCATCGGGTCCGGTCACATTGGCTGCCTCGCAGCCCTTATCGCCGACCACGACGTCAAACTCGACGGTCTCACCTTCGCCAACGCTGCGCAGCAACTTCTGTGGGTTGTTGCGCGTGATGGCCGTCTGGTGGACGAAGATGTCCTCGTGAGTGTCGTTGCGGTTGATGAAGCCATAGCCGTTCTTGACATTAAACCACTTCACCGTTCCCAGGATCCTCTCGGCGACGATAGGCTTCTTCCTGCCACTGAAACGACTCTCTTCGCCCATTGCCAAGTTGGCGGTTATCTTCGGAAGGGGCCGGGTGCCGGTCACAGCTGCTGGAAGCCCGCCTGGATGCGTGATGCGCTTCTGGTGGCTTGACCAGTCCGATTTACTCCGACTGAAACAGCTGCTTGACTCGGCGGTTATGCTTGTTTCCGAAGCTGATGGTATGTTCTGAAGACACGCGAGGAGGTCATCTAGAGTCTTTGGTGACAGTATTTGCACTTGCTTCAACACGTTAGTGTGCAATCCATGCATTATTAAGGCAACTACGGCCGTAGATGGAAGCAAAGGCTCCGCCAGCTTTAAAAGACGGCGTTTCTCAAAGAAGTACTCGACAAGGCAGCTTTGCTCAGACTTGAAATTAAGCGCCGTGTTCCATCTTTCTACTGGATTGCTTCGGAATGCAGTCAAAAACTTTTTCCTCCACTGGCTCCAAGAGTCGTCACTGTCTTCCAGAATGCATGTTTCATACCACTTTCGCGCAACACCTCTCAAGTAAACGCGCATGTTGGTGATTTTAGCCTCATCAGAGAGCCACTTGTTTTTTCCAGCGGCATATTCGTAGAAATCAAGCCAACTTTCTGGATTTGAAGACACACCGTCGAAAGCATCAGGTTCTACGAAATTAGGTGTCGGTCTCTCAGCATTCAGAGAGCTTATAAGAGATGTCATTATTTGGTTTTGTTGAAGCATCTGTTCCTGTTGCAGCTGAAAAGCTTTCAAAACGAGGCTCACCTCTTCCGTCGAAGATCGTGATCCTGAGTGTTGTCGACGCGCTGGTTCAAGAACTAGGTCGTTGAAGGTCGCCACACGCAAGTTCACTTTCACAGCACCTTTCCGTCGTAGTTCAGTAGTGTCTACGGCTGCCTTTTCCACAACCAGGTTTACGAGTTCTTCCGAGCTGAGCTCAAGAGGTAGGTCTACCGCTGCTTCGTCTTGAACTTGGTACTTCGAAAAGATGATCTCCTCGGAGGTCTCGTCTATGAAGAACGTCACCCACATGATGGCTTCGATGGCCGGCTGCGCCAAAATAATGTAGTGTTCCTACTTAAAATAACGGAACAGCATTAAAGCTTCAGTATGGAACTGGCGTCCATCTTAATCTGCTTTATTTTTCACTTCATCCTCCTCTTCCTTCCTGCCCCGGCCCTCGCGCTTCTTCATCTTCTGTCCAAAGGCTCATACCGCTTCAAAGTATACGACAAGGTATCTAAAATGTTCAACATGGTCAAGTTGTGCTCCTGACAAGCTGCAGGATGAGTGAAAGGGTTTGCGTTATCTGGTAAAACTAAGGAAGAAACATTTTCTACACTCAAACACGCCTTCCATTTCTCACTCCACCTTATCACAGTGTTAAGATCACAATGTGAAGCACAAATATTGTCCATACTGTGTACTGATTTATAAATAACACAATCATCTGCGTACAGCCTCGCGGTCGATGTTAGCGTATCTCATAAATCAATAATAACGACCAAAAAGAGTAAAGGACGCAGTACTGAACCGCGTTGCACACGGAAGTTACGCTGGTATATCAGGAGGACGCACATGCCACTCAGACGAACTATTTTTTTAGAATCTGAATAATACCTCATTCAACCGAGAACAGATGCAGGCAGACCTAAAAAAGATGATTTATGGTAAAAAGCGCCTATCTAATGGTGTCAAACGCTTTCTGAAAGTCTATAATAATACCAAATTGGCTTGATAACCTTTATCATAATAACCTAAAACAGGAGAAAATTTGCCCGGTTGTGTAACACAAGACAGACTAGACCTAAAAGCACGCTGAAATGTACAGTAAAAAATCATTTGTTTCCAAGTGCTTTATAATAACGCTATATATAACGGTTTCAAAAGTTTTACCACATACGCTGGTCAAATAAATTGGCCGTTAGTTGACAACATTGTTTTTGTTTCCAAACTTTGGTATTTGCGCAACATTTGCTAGCTTTTATTTAGACGGAAGTTTCTTATATTCAAGCGATTTTGAAAAAAGGACAGTGAAATATGGTGCTCAAGCTGTTGCAGAACTCTTCAATACGTGAATAAAAATGGCATCAGGTCCGGGAGCCGAGTTAACTTGAAGTCGTGCAAGCAGAGTTCACACACCACTAGCGGTATTACCAATGTTATTATCCAGTGGTGAAAATTTCTGCGGGCATTCCACCTTGAAATGGTTCGGAAAACGCAGATTGAAAATATTCGTTTAAGCAGGCTGCCATCTCTGCATCCTCCGAAAAGGTCGTTTCACCAGCAGTTAAACCAGGAATGCTAAAAAACGTCTACTAAATTGATTTCATGTGCTGGCATGTTTCCTCGGAGTTTATTCAGCATTCTTTCCAGGGATACAAAAAAAGTTATTTTTCGCTTCTCATAATTGTTTTTTTAAGTCGACTTGATTTTGCGAGTATTCCCCAAACACGAGCAGTTTTTGATGAACAAAAATGCTTGAAAGTGCGATTTGTTTATCATTTATCTTCCTTATGCTTGCGATAATACGGTGTTTGTCAGCTCTCCGCTTTCCAGAAATAACCTGAGATGGTACATGACTACTGGCAAAACTAGCAAGCTCGAATTTATAAAGTTCTCAAGTGTCAAATTGACCAGGTCAATAGGACGTGCGCAGAGTCACAAGCTTAGCGAAAGCTGCTGTTTTATAATTGCTATAGAGTATTGTTCATGCAGTAGAGTGGAGGAAAAATCTCAAGTTGCGAAATCCTATCGGACAATCACCTAGATCAGGAGACAGCTCGTCTCAGGTGTCAGAGAACGTCAGTTGTTTGGCAGCAGGGTGCGCTGCATCGAGTGCACGTCGGAAACATACGTATCAGTTGCGCAGTTGTGAACGGCTGAAATGGGGTGCCTTCTCAAGATGAAGCTTCCTCGAGGTGGCGGCACTCTTCAATTACGCCATCTATAGCCGTTACGTTGGAAAAGACGGGCACGTTGAATGCCTCGTCTGTGATTCCGTTCAAGATTGAAAGGTTTCGCGAGCCTCTGACATTTTGCGATCAGCCTTCTGATTAAGGCTATAACAACTCTTGAATTTCGGTCAAGTAGGGTTTGGTAGTAGTCTGACAATGTACGCTGAATCGTTTAGTGGTAGCACCCTGAGCAGAAAGTTGGTTGCCTAAAAGGTAGCAAGGTGGTTGTTTATATGTCTCAGCTTGTAACTGGGTGCTCATGGGCCTCTAACCAGACACGACGAGTTTCTTCGAGATAGAATATCACACTTGCCACCACAATGTTGGGATGCCCCCTATATAGAATGCTAATAATTGTGGCTACTGGACCACTTATTTATGTTATCTCTCCTCTACATTTACCGAGATCACAGGGTCACTTTAGGGTGATGAATTGAGATGTTGTTATTGGTGTTGCAACAGTAATCGTGTCTTCACCCGGAGCTATGGTGTAAGACGTAAGGAGGCGTTCACTACAGAGGTGCATCGTCAAGAAACAAACAGAAAAGCTTACTCCGACCCTCCACCGAAAGTTACGTGAAAATAACGATTTGTCCGCAGCAAACCAGACCTGAGTTCACGCAATAAAAATGCCAACTTGTTTATGTCTTAACTCAGGCACATTAAAGCACATATTGTAGCATCCACTGTTAAAATCAGGCCAAACCACACCACAAGTTTACCGAAGCTATATCTTCATGTTTTTATTTCCTTTCGTTGCGTGTTACGTTTTCCACAACATCTAATAACCTTGCGCCCTTTTCGGGCGTAATAGCCGCAATCCGATCTAATTTTGACGGCGTGTGGGTCAGGTGCTTGTGCCGAAGGATTAAAAACTGTTTGCAATTACTGAATCTCTTATTCAGATGAAAAATATTGCTGAACCATGTCACTCAGACGTATCCTGGTGGTTGCATACAGCGTATTGAGGATCTCGCTGTGAATGACTAAGACTGGTGATCAACGGCTAAGAAAGTCACCAAGGCTGCGTGTATTGTGTGCGGATATAAAAAAGGCTGCCAGACCAGCTAGGTTGGCCTTAGGAGCTACATCAAACTAATCATGTGGTATTTGATTTTCTCTTTGTGCTTCTCAGAATCGTTTTACTGTTTTAGTCAAACAGAACAACATTACCCATATAGAATGCTTGAATGGGGTTGCTGTCACAAGAGCACATGGTTTACCTCAGTCTACGTAATACTTGTTCTCTGCGTCAACGTTTCCTATGTGCGGGCTCATATCTCTTCCAATACGTGTTCAACGATGTAAGTCACGTACGTATCAATTATTCTTCCATAAATTAAACGATCGTACTCGTCCCATTTGGTGAAGTTTACTTTTAAAAACAAAAGTTTTTTTATTCTCAACATGGCGGGTTCGCCTTACCTAATGCCTTGTGAAGAATATGACTCGAAAATCCAAGCATAGTAGTCGCTTGCTGTAATATTGATCAATTCATAAAATCTGCAATTATCAAGATAGTCAGGAACTATGGAGCTTTTCTGATATAACCACAATCGCTCAGTTATGTTGAACACCTGCGTATAAGTAAAATACACCAAAGGCAAGTTCTTGGCAATATTCCTCAAGTGCCCATTGATTCTGCCAGTACAATACAATATAAAAAGTGATATGCTGAGCAAGACTTGTATCACCTAGCTAATCATGAACACGCCTTAAGACCCATGCCCGTGCATGCTTACCTGAAGTTAGCAGAACTGAAATGCTCGGGTAGATGCGTGCAATAATTTAGGGGCCCTTTACGTAAAAACATATGGAAAAATAATACCACTCTATGTTACTGCCAAGACTTATATCTAGTGAGGTGTACTTAGTAAATATTAAAGATATATAAAGAGTATATATATATATATATATATATATATATATATATATATATATATATATATATATATATATATATATATATATATATATACACTACCAACTCCTACCCATCACTACCTTCTTACGTCACAGGATTCCCCTCCCCCCGAAATAATGCGCGCGTTGCATATTACAATGCCTGATGAACGA